AGATCAAACCCAAGACCTTGTGCACTGAACTGTAGCCTTAACCCTCAATTTAACAGTTTTTAAAATATCACAGTAATTTGGAATAATTACATTTTCCTGTATTTGGAGAGAAAATCCTTTGGGTTGTATGCATCTGCCTATTAAATTCCTATCGCTCTTTGGTGACATTGCAGTGCTTTTATTAGAACATAGAATTGGCAAGGAGTAAGCATTGGGGGGTAGGTTCTATTGAAGGGAAATAAAAATGTTCAATACAGATAATTGTTGATCAGTTTGTATTAGAAAGAGAAGAGAAATAGGGAGTGGCTAGGGTAGGGCATAGAGCAGGGTGGTTTCTTATCTTGTTTTTGTTTAAGATTAACTCATTATCTGCTGTGAACTGGTTCTTTAGGGAAGACATACTGTCTTTTACTAATGGCATAGTTATTGAAGGGTTCAACATTTCTTCTTCCTCCCTCCCCAAAGTATTTATTATTCTTCCTGTAGTTATTATTAAGTTTAGGATATCATTTTACATATATTAGGTTATTAGGCCAAATTGCTTCTTCCTGCAGATATTAGGTATTTCTTTGTATCTCCAGATGCTTTGTTATATGTATTTGGGGGCGTTGTTTGATTGGTTTTGGGTTTTTTTTTTTGTTGTTGTTGTTCTCAATATAATATTTTTATCTATTTTATTTGGGAATTTCATACAGTTTGCCCTGGAAACTTGCTTCCCATTCCTCCCAGGTCTACCCTCCTACCTCTGTGCTCCCTCCTCCAGAAAAACTGAGGGAAAAACCCCCCAAAAAAACAAATAAAACACCAAGTCAAATTTGTATTACCTATATACTCATTGACAAATTGTCAAACTCCTAGTGGCCAGCCCCTTAAAGAAAAGCAAACCCTCTCCCTCCCACCCCCATAGCCCCCCACCTCCATCAGAGGCCATCTTCTGTGAAGAGCTACACAGCAGCATCTTTATCACAATTTGTGAGGGCTCTCTTCAATAGCTTTCTGTCTTGGCTGTTCCTTTATTTTTTTTATTTTTTTGGAGGTGGGGAGATTGTCATAGAAGGCTTCAATGTCTCTCTGGATTTTTTTTATTTTTTTATATTGTTGTTGTGCTTTTTGTTTGTTTGTTTGTTTTTATTTGTTTTGTTGAGGCAAGGTCCCATTAGGTAACTGAGGCTGGCCTTAGACTTAATAATTAGCCCAGGCTGGCCTTAAATTTACTCTCTTCCTGCCTCAGCCTCCCAACTGCTTGAATTATATGCACATGTTACCGTAATTAACCCAAGAGTCCTTAATTTATGAAGTAAATTTCATGTCATTTTGGAGGCATGTCAAATAAAGCATAGTTAATTATTCTAATCTTCTGAAAGAAAAATAGTTTGCATAAAGAGGCTTATAGAGTCAGTACCATTTAATAAACATTATGCAACTACTATGTGACTATCATTGTTCAACGGGTGAAGTATAAGTAGTATATAAGACAGATGCTCTTCCTGTTCTTAGAGAAGATAGATTTTTTTTTTTTCTTTTTCGAGACAGGGTTTCCCTGTGGTTTTGGAGCCTGTCCTGGAACTAGCTCTTGTAGACCAGGCTGGTCTTGAACTCACAGAGATCCGCCTGCCTCTGCCTCCCGAGTGCTGGGATTAAAGGCGTGCACCACCACCACCCGGCCCAAGATAGATATTTTAAAACTGTCAAGAACATTACTCCTAAATTGTGGTAATTTGGTAAGGATAGAATGTTTTGATTTATAGAAAGGGAAGATCCTTAGTGGGATGGTGGAGAAGACATTTCTAATATCATGATGGAGCTGTTTAAGGGTGGGCAGATGAAATGGCTGGTTAAGAGCACTGGGCTGCTCTTCCAGAGGACATAGGTTTAATTCCAAACACCCACATGGTGGTCACAATCGTCTGTACACCAGTTTTAGGAAATCTGATGCCTTTGCAGGTGCCAGGCATACAAGTGGTACAGAGTCACATGAATGCAGGCAAAATATCCACACACCTAAAATAATTTTTTTTAGTTAGGGGAAAGTGGAGAAAATTACCAAAGTCTTGAGGCAGAAAAGATCTTGCCTTAGAAAATTAAATAGAAGCTTAGTATCAGTGGACATGCTCTATGGGAAAATGATGACAAGAACAGAAAACTATAATGGGAACCCTTGGAAGAACAAGTCCTATGTGAAGGTCGTGCTGATGGGGTGAGACTGCAAACCTGAAAGCCTGGATAGAAGGCTGTTTTGATAATCACCAGGTTTAACAGATGGTCAGTCTAGTGCCGTAGTAAGAAACAGAAACATCAGTTTGAGAGCTTTTCAGTTTGTAGAATGAACTGAATTTATTAGGTTCTTGACTAGATACAGAGCATGGGTTTGATCTTTTGTAGCTATGACAGATGCCTGAAAGAAGTAGTTTAATGGAGGAAGAATTTGTTTGGATCTTGGTTTCAGTCCTTGATTGACTCTTATCACATTTAGAGTGACCTATAGCATTACAGAAACATCATTAAGGAAGTGCATGATGTAGGCAACTATAATCCCAAGGAAACATTAAGGGACAGGGACAAGGTACACTTCTAAGAACATACCTCCAGTAACCCGCTTCCTGCAGACAGGCTTGTGTTGGTTAGACCCTTTGTCCCTGTGACAAACACCTGAGAGAACAACTTATAATAGGGAAGAAAGATTACTTTTGGTGCCCATTTCAGTCCTTTTCTGCTTTATGCCTGAGGCATGGTAGTAGGGGGTGTATGATAAAGACTATTTACCTCATAAAGGTGGAAAGCAGAGACAGCAGGACAGGGGCCAGGTAAGACTCTTCAGAGGTACTTTCTCCATAATGAATTTCCTCCAGCAAGTTCCCACCTCCTAAAATTTCTAATATTCTCAAAGTGGCACTCTTAGCTGGGACTAAAGTTTTAGACAGAAGTCTCACTATTGTACCATAGTGGGCCTGGAACTTGCTTTATAGATCAGACTAGCTTAATTCACAGGGATCTGCCTGTCTTTGCCTCCCTAGCGTTGGGATTAAAGGCATGCACCATCACACCCAGCCTGAGCACTAAACTTTTAATGTGAATCATATAAGGATATTTCACACTGTATAATTAGACTTTCTGGGGGGGGGGGTCATTATTTGGACCAGCCTCCAAATAATGACACAGAGTCTTTTATTAATTATGAAAACTTGACCTTTATCTTAGGCTTGTTCTTAACTAGCTCTTGTAATTTAAATTAACCTATTTCTAGTACTACGTTCTACCACATGGCTTTTTACCTCTCCTCCATTCTATATGTCTGACTCCCTCTATGTCTTGCTGGCATCTCTTCTGTACCTCAGATTCTTCTTTAGTTCCTCTCTCTCTCCCCAGAAGTTCCGCCTAATCTCTCCTGCCTAGCTATTGACCATTCATCTTTTTATTAAACCAATGACAGCAATACATCTTCACACAGTGTACAAATATCCATAACAATACTGGATCCATAGCAATGTTTCACCTCCTAAGTTTCTGTTACTTCGCAATAATGCTATTTGTGGATTAACACCCTCATGATCCATAACTTCTCAAGAACACTACTTGGAGCCTGTGAGATGGCTCAACAGAAAAAACATTTGCTACCAAGCTTGATGACCTGAGTTGGAGCCCAGGCCCTGCATGGTGGAGGAGTAAACTAACAATTCCAAATTGTCATCTGACCTCCATACATACACTGTGGCACATTGTAGTAAGGAGGCCGCTTGTTGGTTCCCGGCCACTTAGCCCCAAAATAATCACACAGAAACTGTATTATTTAAATCACTGCTTGACCCATTAGCTCTAGCTTCTTATTGGCTACCTAGTCCCTGTTAGACATACCTCTAATACATTTTAGCTTATATAGTCTCATTTGAAAGTTTACAAGCTTTCTGAAGGTACACTAAATAAGTCCTCCACCTGTGCCAAGGGTGTGTGTGTGCGCGCGCGAGCGTGTGTGTGTGTGTGTGTGTGTTAGACTGAAATAGACATTGTCATCATCCCTCGTTCTTCACATTATTTTTTAAACCTAGTGATTGGCTTAGTCTGTCTGGTCGGTGATCCCCTGGTGTCTTCCTATGTCTGCCTACCATTGCTGGGACTACAAATATAACTGTGCCCAGCCTTTTATATGGGTGCTAGTGATCCAAACTTAAGTCTTCATGCGTGCATCTCACGCATTCTACCTACTAAGCCATCTCCTCAGTCCCTAGACTAAATCTTTTTGCTCTTACTGCCTCCAGGCTTAACACTAAGTAAGCATCAATGAAGGTTCATGTAATTAATCACTTGGAAATTTATTGTAAATACTAAAGTCAACTGATACTACAAACCAAGTTTTAATGTGAACTGCTATGATTTCAATTGCTATAGGTTTCACTTGTTCTTGGGTGTTTGTTGTATGTAAAGTACTGCCTGCGAATGCTGGAGAGAGGGTGATTAGCTCTCAGTCTTGTGGAAGAGTCGAACTTCAGACACTGAGATTTTCTGATCATTACAAAAGCAAATGTAATGATCTGTAATGATTTTAAGAGTGAAAGGACAGAATGCTTTTGAAGAACTTAGTCTATGGGACCTGCAGTGCTGTGTGCCTATAGGAGGCTGGTGCACTGAACAGAAGCCAAATCCCATGGTTCCTTGGAGGTCAGACACAAAAGGTTTTTAGGTAGTGATATTTCTATTTCTTGGTTTCACTTGTGTTTCAGAGTCTCTGTATCTTAGGGTTGTGTTTTAAGAAATATCACATTTGTTGGGCGGTGGTGGCGGCACACGCTTTAATCACAGCACTTGGAAGGCAGAGGTATGTGGATTTCTGTGAGTTTGAGGCCTGCTTGGTTTTCAAAAGTGAGTTCCAGGACAGCCGGGACTGTTATACAGAGAAACTCAAGCCTCCCCTCCTCCCCCCACCAAAAAAAAAGAAGAAAGAAAAGAAATACCATGTTGAGTGAATCATTTGCACTTTATATTTCTCTATGTTTCAGAATACTTACATACTTTTTAAATTTCTGTCTTGAAGCAGAGAAGTGGTGAATCTGTTAAAGTGCACCAACTTGATGTTGCTATTCCTTTGCATCTCAAAAGCCAGCTGAGGAAAGGGCCCCCACTTGGTGGTGGGGAAGGAGAGACTGAATCTGCAGACACAATGCCATTTGTCATGTTAACAAGAAAAGGCAATAAACAGCAGGTAAGAAATGTCCACTGTGTAGTTAATTGGTGGTTATCAGGTGTGAGAATTAACTTTGTTTAATAAATTCTAAGTTACCCTTTTCCTACAAAAAGAGATGAGAACTTTTTAAATATTCAATGATAGAAATATTATCTATTATATGTATGAAAGAGGCATTGATTGACTTTTACAGAATAGATGTGTGTCAATGGAAAGGACTTTTAAATTCTAAGTACGTATATATTCATAAGAATATATAAATTCCAAAATAAAAAAGAATATATAAATTCCTTGACTTCACATAGTAAACTATATGAGGAAGTTCATGGTAGGGAGGAAGAAGATATTGACTAACATCTCAAGAAAATGTTGAACTGCCAAAGGTTTTCTTGAAATTTGTTATCTGACCCCGAGCCTTCTCTTATATTCTTACTATTTCTTACTATGCTCTCCTACTTTGCTATATGTTACATATGGCCTCTCAAAATCATTTCCCTGACTACTAAGCCATTACTTTGGGGATTCATGTGTTCATTTAGCAGGGTTTTTTTTGTTGTTGTTGTTTTTTGAGGCAAGGTTTTCTGTAGCTTTGGGACTTGTCCTGGAACTCTGTAGACCAGGCTGGCCTCGAACTCACAGAGATCCGCCTGTCTCCCGAGGACTGGGATTAAAGGTGTGTGCCACCACTGCCCAGCCATTTAGCAGAAATTTACTGAGCATCAGTTCTGTTCCATTAAGCATGTGTATGTGTTTAGGTCCTAAAACTATAGTGACACACACCATGAAATACCTGTCTTCATGGATCTTATGTCTCACTGAGATGATAAAACCTGGTATACAAGGATAAAAGCCAGCACTCAGACATAGCTCCTGGATGGACATGTATTGGTTCTGTTTGTATGCTTTATTATTTCTGATATCAGGTTCATTTCTAAAGTTGATTAATTCATGTAATAATTGACATTTTTCCATTCTAATATAAAGTAAGATAATGGTATATATTAGAATTAAATACTAGATTTTATGAAATAAGGTAGCTGCCACAGGTAGATAAGTGTAATACTTGGTTTTCATGTTATTCACATAGCCATTTGGCATATTTGTTTCATGCTAAGTCCTTTGTTTCAACCATAAGTTAAGCAAATTCTTTCTTGGAGCTTCATTCTGGTTTAGGGAACCATAAAGTCAAGAAAGTCACTGTCAGCTTGGGATATTGTGAGGGAAATAAAGCAAGATGAAAAGAGACAGTGGCAAGGCTAGAGACATGGAGACTTTCAGTGATTGTGATGGAAAGAAGGGTCTGTATTTAAAGTAATGATGCCAGCACGGTGAGATGGTTCAGTGGGTGCAGGTGACAGGCTGAGTTCAATCCCAGAACCCACCTGGGAAGAGAGAGCTGACTCCCAGAAATTGTCCTCTGACATACACACTGTATATCTATCTATCTATCTATCTATCTATCTATCTATCTATCTATCTCACACACAGAGACAAACTGAAAAACTAAATCTAACTATAAAAACAATCAAAGGTCTTTCTGGAGATGGAAGCTAAAGAACCTAGGAAGAGGATATGGTAAGCAGGAATCCCTGAAAGAATAGCATGGTGAATGCCACCATTTGGTCTTGGATGTCTGCTTCTCTGTCCATTTCTCCTCTACAGTCCTGGGCCCAGCTTGCCTCCCTGCTATCCTTTCAAACTTAGCTCCTTCTGGATCCAGTAGCTGAGACCCAGTCCTGTCACTTCAAGAACAGAGGAACACCTTCCACAATTCCCTAGGTCCTCCAAGCCTAACTCCAGCCCTGAATTGGGGACAAAAAACGCTCTGCAGCACCATGCTTACTCACCAGTGCCAGCAGATGGCAGCCCAGGCAAAGACACTGACTCCCTACACACTCCTGCTTAGACCTTAGCATGGAACTCAGCTACTTCTTGGACCTGGTGCTCAAAGTGGGCTGCCACTTACATGCCCTCAGCCTTGTTCCAGAACCTAAAAACTGCCACATTGCAATATCCTTCATCCCCTGCACCTTCCCAAGGAACTAGAGTGGGTACAAGTACTCAAACCTTGGGAGTAGGTAAGATCGGGGAGTCTCTATTCTTAACTATCAAGCTGCTAAGCAGATGTGAGGGCCGAGGGCTTGCCCCTTAGAAAAGAATCTTCACTTAACTTAGTTAAGACCTGATACCACCCTTCCTTCTTTTCTAGTAAGAAAAAACGAGAAATTAAGACAATCACCAGCACCCTAGCCCCAAGGCAGAGGGGCACAGAGGCAAAACCTTGCAGCCATGCTTACCCACCTTCCACACTGCCACTTCTAGTCTGTTTGATGTTTGGGCTATGTGACTATATAAAATTCCCCTCTGTGTATTTTAAATTTGTAAATGAGTATCTCTGTTCTTGTCCATAATTTCTTATTTAGATAAGGGATTATAGAAGTCCTACTTTATACCATTCTTTTGCGGCTGGTAAGTAAAGAAATCTCAATAATATCAAAATAATAGGGCCAGCAAGAACTTTCCATCATGCCTAATGTTAAAGTTAACATGTCAAAATCAGACACTAGCTTCCTTCATCATGCCCACCTTCTCTGTGCATGCACACACACAGCTCTAACCAGGTCTCGTTGTGTTTTCATAAGGCCCACCCTCTCTGTAGACCAGGGTTGTGCTTTCTATGCTCACTCACTCTAAAGAGGAAAGAGAGAGCCGGTTTTGGTAAGAATCCTAAATTAGGTGTTATTCCCTGATCTTTGCCAAAACTGCTTCTCAGTTACCTGGTCTTGATATTTTACCACTGTAACCAGGGTTCTCAAATCCCAAGTATTGAACTTTTTCCCTAGGCCTACTTAGATTTTTGAGCTAGACTTTTTTTTTTCTTTTAAAGGAAACTTAGTCATCCCATTTTAGGTCTCCTTTATCTTTCTCTCTGCTCTTCCTCTGTACTCCCTACCCATGCCAATGGCTTTTCTTGGCATAAAAAAAAGTAAGTCTGAAAAAGTCATTTAATTCTAACATTTTAAGACATAATACAGCGCATAAAACCTTTACATGTGTGGGGGTGGGGACAAAGAGTAGTGTTTAGCTACTATAATTAGGTATTTCTTGGTTCCCATTACTGCATAACTACTCATGTCTTGGCATGTACCTTGGGTCCTGAGTTTTATTAACTAAAAATAAGCTTAGTAATATCTTTCTGAAGAAAAGCTATACAATAGTTTTCCTCTTTATTGTATTAAGGTACACATAAAAATCCATTTGTCAGCATGTCCATATACAACTTGTAGGCTTTGACAGTACATCGAAATATACCTCAAGGCTAGGCATGGTGACATACACCTGTAATTCTCAAAGGCTGAGACAGGGTCATTAATTTGGAGGCCAGTTTCAGGTAAATTATTGGAAGAAGCATTATGGTATTTTGTAGTCTGAATAAGTGTATTTTGTTCTGTTTTTTTTTTATTTACCATTTGGATGTTGGCTTTTCTATAAATGTGAAATCTGTTACTGTATAGGAATGTTTAATTCTTCACCTCAGTGAAAGATCTCTTTGTGACAGGATTTCTGTTTAGAAAAACCTTACTGTGGTAGTCATCTGCAGAAAAAATGTATCAGTGAAGTGAGTTGGTAAAGGGAAGTAAAAGTGCCAAAAGTTAATGTCTATATTTATGTATTTATTGATTTGATCATTAAAAATGTTTTAGCATAATAGCTTTGTTATATACTTTAGCATATTTTGTTTTTAAAAAGACAAAGTAAATCAGGCAGTGGTAGCACAACCTTTAATCTCAGCACTCAAGAAGTAGAGGCAGGTGGATCTCTTGAGTTCCAAGCCAACCTGGTCTATAGAAGGAATTCCAAGACACTCAGGGCTACACAGAGAAGTCCTGTCTTGAAGAAGGAAAAAAAAAAAAAAGTTGGGGTTAGAGAGATAGCTCAACCGTTTGGTGTTTGCATGAGGACCAGAGTTTGGATCCAAGCACCCATATAACAAACCAGAATCCTACAGACACACGTAACTCAGTTCTGAGCAATCCAGCACTCTTTTCTCCCTCCCTCAAGCAAATGTGCAAATAAAATGAATTTTTAAAAAAATGTAAAAATGTAAAGTAACAGATTCAACACAATGCCCAGCAAAATCCCAGCAAAATTCTTCAAAGACTTCAAAAGAACGGTACTCAACTTCATATGGAAAAGCAAAAAATCCAGGATAGCTAAAACAATCCTGTACAATAAAAGAATGTCTGGAGGTATCACAATCCCTGACTTCAAACTCTACTAAACAGTACAGTGTTACAGTACTGAAAACAGCCTGGTTATGGTATAACAGACAGGAGGATCAATGGGAACCAAATAGAAGATCTGGACATCAGTCCACACATCTTCAAACACCTGACTTTTGACAAAGAAGCAAAAAAAATATCAGATGGAAAAAGGAATGCATATTTAACAAGTGGTGCTGGCATAACTGGATATCAGCATGTAGAAGAATGAAAATAGACCCATATCTATCACCACGCACAAAACTCAAGTCCAATGGATCAAAGACTTCAACATAAAGCCAGCCACACTGAATCTTATAGAAGAGAAAGTGGGAAGTACACTCGAACGCATTGGCACAGGGAACCACTTCCTAAATATAACCCCAGCAGCACAGACACTGAGAGAAAAAATTAATAAATGGGACCTCCTGAAACTGAAAAGCTTCTGTAAAGCAAAGGACACGGTCAACAAGACAAAACGACAGCCTACAGGATAGGAAAAGATCTTCACTAATCCCACGTCAGACAGAGGTCTGATCTCCAAAATATACAAAGAACTCAAGAAATTGGACACCAAAAGAACACATAATTCAATAAAAAAAAAAAGTGGAGTAAAGACAGAGAACTCTCAACAGAGGAATCTAAAATGGCTGAAAAACACTTAAGGAAATGTTCAACACTCTTAGTCATCAGAGAAATGCAA